GACAAGAACGGGACAGAAGATCCTGGGCCAGGATCTTCTGTCCCGTTCTTGTCCACGATGTCCCCAAGGACACGAGAGACTTGCACCTTGCCATCCACGTAGGCCCCCTCGATGCAGACGCCGAGCGCCTCCAAGTGCTGCTTCTCTTGGTCATTTTTGTCGGGGTTGTGGTCTCGTGTAGTTGTGCCCACCTTTCCGTTCTCGCACACAGCTGCCCTGCAGTCCCCCAGGTTCAACAGGACGAGCTCGTCTTCCTGAAGGAGCACAATGCAAGCAACTGTTCCGGACGAAGTGCCGGCTGTGAATACTTTGGCCTCCTCTTCCAGCTCCTTATGCATCAGGTCGTCCATTGCTGCGAACGCTTGATGCGTGGCTTCCTCCCTGCTGCTCCCTTGTTCGAGGTGCTTTTCCAGTTGCCGCGGCAGGAACTGCTTGGCAAGTACAGTGGCCTTCTCGCCTCCGTGACCATCGAACACAGCGAAGCAGGCGTGTCCCGCAACATTGTCGCTGATGGACACAGCATCTTCCATGCGCATTCGGTCAGGGCAAAGCCGTGCTGCGACTTGCCACCCGAGGCATAGTCTGGCAGCAAGGATGGATCCTTTTCTCGTGCTCCACAACACTGGCACACATTGCCCATGGCTCACACACGCTTCACAAAGATGTGGACTATGCAACTGAATGCCCCGAGGCTGCCCCACCCAAGCGCAGAGCCCTGTTTGTGCATGCAATCGTTGCAAAGTCTTCTGTTGACTGGATATTTCATTTCACACTTGGTGGTCCACACTGCTCTAGCTTGGACCACGAACAGGGCATTACATCGTCAAAGGATAATGCGACATGCGTGCATTTGCCTGCTGCTAGCTGGAGGGCTCTCGTGTGAAATGCTGAAGGAATAAACCTAAAATTATAGAGGCCTCAATATTCTGATTTAATGTATATTCCTGAATTAAGGGGTATTGGGTTCTCTGGGTGTCTATGAATTCATGGAAGCCCTCAGTCCTCTCACCCCGCCGGCCTTTCTTCGAGGCGTCGCAGACCAGCCCGAAACTGAGTGCGATGCCAGTGGATCGACCGGGTCGCTATTCTTTACTGTGCTGCCGTCCCTGCCTCGGAGCACAGAGTCTGTAGCTCGGCCATCCGTTTAAGTTTTGATTGCCCTTCGCAAGCCATACCAAAGAGTGTTACAATTGTTTTCGTGCTCTTCTGTAGAGCTGCTAAGTCTGCTACCATAGACAACCAACCTCTTCAAACAAGTCTCTTACTTAGAGTAGTCGGAGTCGGAACGGAATCTGTCTCACGCATGCAGTGTCCGTTGCCAGATAAACTAATGTTATGGTGCTAGTTCAGCTTCCCAACTTGAGTCGCGCTTTGTTCGGTTCTATAGGTTGTTCTCATCCTTGCAGAGCCTGCGCAGTGCCAACACTGGGCAAGCTGCCCACAGAAACATGTCTCGAGCTATGTTAGCCTATGCTTGCCTCCGGCCTGCGCGGCTTTGTCTTCTAGAGCCTCAAATCAAAAGTTTCATTTATGCCTTCGTACAGGTAACACACCAATGGTACGGACATTGTCTGCGACACCAGAAGGAAGACTCTCTACGCCGAGAACTGGTATCTAAGGCCATGTTATGTGCAGCCTACACGGTGACCACATGCCATGCCTGCACGCAGTGCAGTCCACCGCATCCGATTTCCGCATCCGATTTTTAGACTTCCTCGAGGCCTATACCAAACAATCAAAAGCTCGAACTCCCTTGGGTCCGTGATCCAGCTCTCGCACGAACACGTGGCAAATACCCATAATGCTTACATACCACTCTTACTCCCAGCCGGGCTGGTTGAAAGCAGGCAACATGTGCGCGACTCTTCGATGGGACTATAATTTAATTGAACCTTGAACCTGCCACACAGAAGAAGGATTCCGGCACTGTGCAAACAGCTTCCCTTTGCCAGATTATGCTGCCACATTAGTCAACGTAGCCAGCGCAGCCTGCATAACCTCTCGACCGACGCAGAGTCTATGCGAATCCACGGCTCATGATGGGCATGGGGTTTTCAAACGTAGGACGACGGGAAGGGCCTAATCACATTTTTCTCCAGAGTCGTGTAGCCGACATTTCGATCGCTGATTGCCTTGGACAAACTGAGCTGAAGGCACAATTCAAACCATGCCGCGTGCTCGGGCGCGGAGGATGTCATTTTCCCTCAGATGCAAACCAACGAAACCCCGACAAAACGCGGTCAGCCAATGCAAGTCCAACACAGCCTCCTTCACCAAGTCTCGCTTGAGGTCTAGCACAGTCGTGGCTGCGTCGACTTCGAACTCATGCGTCCACTCCTGTGCTGCGCACTGAAGCTTCTCGGTTCAAGACTCGGGCTTGTAAGACACGGCCGTCAGTGCAGCATTTAACCATAATACGACAGCGCGGTTTGAGAAGCTTACCTGCTCCTCATGCTTGAATGACACGGTGGCGCGCGGCATTGCAAAAGAATCCAACGTGAAATTGCGGTTCGCTCGAGCCATAGAGGGGGCACAAGCAACTGTAGACTCCAGGTCCAGGTCAATCAGCTCTGCCGTCGGCCCCTTCTTATACGACTCTGAAACTGTTTCGATTTGAGAGCAGCGCTACAAGTTGCTGTAGGCTCTTTTCCCATGATCGCATGGTTGGGTGGTCGAAGGGGTGTAGAAACGAATCACGGCAGCTTGCCTGGGAAATGCAAAAAGTTCCAGTCAGATTGACTGCATAGTGCGGACTTGTGATTCTGAGATGTCAGCCTGTAAGGACGACCTCCATGATGTCAAGAGTAGTTGGTTGGCTCTTCGCAATAGCAATCGACACCGAGGGCTCCGCCAACCCATATGAAATGGCGCCGTATGCAACGACCATTCCACAAAGGGCAAGGGCGGTCTGCCAGATGCGTCAGTTGACACGTGCAGAGCTTAGATGAGCTTAGCTAACAATTCCGAATCCCAGTTCAACATCGACCAGCTGCCCTGCGTCAACCCCTGAGTACGGAGCGTAGACGCCCTATCTGCATCTAAATACAACACTCTGTGGCGGCTCTCGCGGGCCGATCATCATGATAACGGAAGGGGACCAGCCTGCTTGCTGAGCCTGGGGGGGTGAGGATCCATGATGAGCCTAACCTAGTACCATAGTACAGTTCGCAGGTGCGCACTACAAGAATCCGATGCATCAGTATGAATGCTTGCGCCGTGACACGGCGGAAAAAACTCAAAGACAGGCAATTGAAAACGGCATGTCAGCATTTGCCCGATCGGTTCGAGAACCAGGTGCCGCATCGCATCTGATGACTGGCTTTCATACTCGGGTCCCTCCACGGCCGGCCTTAATGTTGTACTCATTGGCAAGCGCATTGAGGTTGTCGTCCATGACCTTGGGAAGCGAGAAAGCAGTGAAGTAAGCACGGTGCTGCTACTGGCTGAATCCTTATGCCAGGCTCAGGCAAGCACCCAGCGCACGTACCTGCCGACAGCTTCGTATCATCAAGACACCCAGCTTCCTTATAGACTCGACAGGGCCCTACAGCAACTGTCTGCACAGCCTGGGCTCCGAGACCGACATGAGCTGGTAGGTTGCTTCGGCTTTCCGGCTCGCCTGGCAAGTACAGCCGGTGAGAGAGAAAAGATGCATAAAGCTGTTCGAAAGCGCATATGTCCTTGCGGTACTCGTCATAGCTGCTAGATGAGAAGAAGCCCTCGTTGTCGAAGATAACAATACCACCCGTTGCCTGTCAGTCACATACAGAAGAAAGGCTAGGTTTGTCTCCTACACTTGTGCGCAACCCCATTCCAGAGTCTTCCAGCATCACGCTGCAAGGAACCTTTCTGTCCTTGGCAGCATCACACCAGAAGTCTCCTGCGCACAGTCATCAGCTCTCATACTGACATACTAATTGTTGCCATTCTGACTTGACAAACTGAGCATTCCCCTGTCTGGATCCCTTCGCTCCTCCCTCCAGGGAGCAGCAGCCAGTGCCCACGGCCCAGTACTGTGGGTAGGAATCAAGCTTTAATCACAGCGGCAAATTCGACACACTAGCATGTTGTCCTGCATCTGCTGGACCTGGCTGCCATCTCGCACCGGCGCGACACCTAAGGCAGAACTTGTGAGACTTCGTGGGGAGTTTCGACAGCAAGTCGCTCCGAGGTGTAGGCAGAAGACGGACCCACCTAAACACGCCCAGCGAAGACATGCGAAGACAAAACCGTGAAGTCGTGGGATCACGATTTGATGACGTGTCAACTTGTGCTTGGACGATTGCGTTCGGTGATGTAGGACACTGAATGCTGGGTATCCACCTGGTGTCTCGTACAAGATCAAGGTCAAGCTGCTAGTACATACAAGTGGAGCTGCTGAAATCCTGCAGGGTTAAGCCATTTACGAATGCCGATGATGAAAAGACGAGCTTGCCTGCATCCGCCACCTTCAGGGCAAGCAATGGGCCAATACGCTGCAGTCATAGTTCACACCCTGCGCTGGAATCTTGGCGACAGGCAGCAGCACTTGGCTGAGACGGAAGCACATCCGCATACACCCTGGCAGGTCATCGCACTCGCCCGCGCTCACTACTGGCGAGCGACAGGGCAAGCGTTTGCACACAGTGCCTACAACCAAGATGCAACATGTAAAGCTCGCGAGCAGCACCGAGCATTGCTGTAGAATTGTGGATAGATGGCATACCTACAGCAGCTCAAACCGAGACTGATAAATGCGACTGCCGTTGAATGCGCAATGGCGAATAAAAACTTACACAACTTAGCAGCACACACATCGTAGGTGTACAGGCCACCGATGGAGCCAGCAGCGGTGGCCACAGGCAGCATCAAGGAGGCCGGAAGGAAGGTTCGCACTGGGGCAGAACAAGCACATTTCCAAAGCATTGAACCGGAACTTCCAGAGTCGCAGGGCCTTCGTGCTTGAATGCAAACAACCTGCAGAGGCCATGGTGTGGACAAAAGCTTCACACTCTCTCCTGGCACTACCTGAGTTGGCTACACCCCAGCCACCATCAGGAAGAAGGCCGACAAGATCACGCAGATGCTTGGCCTGCAGGCTGAGCTTCTTCGCTTTACGTTATGAGTGCCATGCGTGCTGCTCCAGGTCTCTTGCAGCGCCATGAACCCGAATGTATAAAAGAACCTGGTCGCAGTTCCACTACTGACAATGTGGATTGATTGCGGCATGCATGGGACAAGGCTGCAGCCAAGCAGCAGCAAAAACAAGAAGACTGCATACTGTGGGCCCCAGACGCCCTTGCAATGCGTGAACATCAGCGGGCAACATCGTCCAAAACCCCGGGTCAATGCATCACTCCCGGTGAAGCTGAGATGCCCAAAATCCTGGTTGCTTCCAGGCCGAAAATGGAGACTTTTGCCTGCGAGATCATGTGTGGCGGGTTGCAGTTCTGAACCACACCGTGCCGCAGTCAGCATGTGTTTCGTGATCCCACCCGCGGGGTTTTGCGGGCCCGACGCCATCTTTCATTGCCTCGGGGACACTGCTGGA